CTTCTGTGTCCAGATGCTAGAGATGCTAGTTGGCCCTTCCCATACATGCACTGGCCAGTCTGAGGCCCTTCCTTTAGTGCTTCCAGGCAGGTGTCCCTCTCCTGTCTTCAGACTAGCACAAAGTACAGCTGTTCCCTGCATAGTATGGTCAGTGTCTGTTTAGATGGACAAGATGGAGGTCAGAGTCATGCCTGCTACCCAGACACTGTGTGACCTGAGAAAGTCCTGTATTCTTGGTGTCTCAGATTCTCTATCTTGACCACACTGGATCATGCAAGGTGATCCAAAGGAAAGGTGTGTGGATCAGGGCCCCTTAGCTCCTACCTAGGTGGCCTGTGATGACCCTAGATGGATAACCAGCTGGGCAGAGGCCCTGAACTGGAGGAGGCACAGAAGACAAGTTCCACTTGTCTTTCCTTAAGAGGGGTACTTTACTTAGGCCCCAGCCTGGCCCTGCTCTGCCTGGGCTGTCGCCATTGCAGCCTCAGTACTTGCATTATACTATCCCAGAGGAAGGCACACCATTTACACTGGCAGCAAGATGCAGGGCATACACCTTGCTAGGCCCTTGGTTGTCTATTGCTTTTAATGAGCTGAGATGGTTGGTATCTGATGGACAGTGGTCCTATTGTTGGCCTCTGACACTTTCAGTCTGGTGGATGAGGGGACCAGGAAATGGCAAAGGGCTCTGTCCAGCTCCTTGGAAGAACCAGGACACTCAGGGACTGGGAGACCTCCTTGCTTCCGGTACAGCTTATATTTGTGATGTGTGTGTGTGTGTGGCAGGGAACTGCTCCCTACAAGAAGTCACAGTCTTGTCTGTTCTTTGGTATGTTGGGGGCTCTGATGGTGTCCTGAGCTGGAAGACAACAAATTATATTTTTTAAGATTTATTTAATGTATATGAGTGGTCTATCTGCATGCACACCTTTATGGCAGAAGAAGGCATCAGATCCCACTATAGATGGTTGTGAGCCACCATGTAGGTACCGGGAATTGAACTCAGGACCTCTGGAAGAGCAGAGACAAGCCGGGCAGTGGTGTTGCCTGCCTTTAATCCCAACACTTGGGAGGCAGAAGCAGGTGATCTCTTGAGTTCAAGTGAGTCTACAGAGCAAGAGTGCCAGGACAGGATCCAAAGCTACACAGAGAAACCCTGTCTTGAAAGGGTACCAACAAAACTTGGGAGACAGAGTATATAGCCCAATTGGAAGAGTACTTGCCTAACACCAGATGTGAGGCTCTGGGTCCCGTTCCCAGTACCACATAAACAAGATGTGTAATTTCAAAGAGGAGAACACGAGGATCAAGAGTTTAAAGTCAGCCTTGGCTATATGGTGAATTTGTGACCAGCCTGGGCTACATGAATCCCTATCTCAAAAAAAATTGTTTTTAATTACTCATGAGTCTGCAATGTGAATTTTATTAAGTTGGTTTTGTTTTTAAATTCACATGATTTCCAAAAGCAGGTCTTTCCTGAAACAATTTTGGTATTGACACCACCACCAAAGAGAGAGAGAGAGAGAGAGAGAGAGAGAGAGAGAGAGAGAGAGAGAGAGAGAGAGAGAGAATTTCACTTATCCCAATCTTTCCTCACTTATGATGACATTGAACTCCTAACCCTGCTGCTTCCATCTTTCAAGTGCCAGGACTACTGATGTGTGCACTACCACACATGGTTTATGTGGCGCTGGGTAACTAACTCAGTGCATGTTTGGCACTCTACTAACTCAGCTACATCCCCATGTGTTCATTCAATTTTAAGTGCACAAATTTACCCCACTGGGATAACCAACATCCTAGCAAAGATGGGGAAGATTCCTGCCAGTCTAACAAAAGAAAGGCTTCTGAACATAGCTTTGGCTTATACAGGGGGTCTAGCTGCTCCACCTCTACCAACGATGTGGCTAGCTGCCCATCCATCTGCCACATTGAGCTGTATGGCTAGAGGGGAGGTGGGCAGAGACCTTTTGGCACCCACCTCTGTCGATCTGGACAGGCACATTTAGTGGGCACCTAGTACCATGTGGCACTCAGCCTAAGGCTGATCCAAGGGGCTGGAGGCTAAGGCACCTGCTGTGCACAGGTCTGGGTGGTACTTCGGTAACAGCTCATTACACCTCTCAGGGACTGCCATGGGTATCATAGCAGAGTGCCTGGCAGGAGGCTGAGGTAGGCTGTGCTTGGGGCCAGGCAGGCTGCATGAAGATCAGCCAGGTTAGGATGGAGGACCATGGTGGCAGGAGGTCTTGCCCCTGGGTGATGTTCCCAGCTACTGTCTCTTAGGACCCTAGCTTCACTAGACTGCTATGGGGAGTGGCCTCTGCCTCCCTCCAAGGCTTCTCTCTAGCCTGGGGGTAACAGCTGCAGAGAAGTGAGCTAGCAATGGGAAGTGGTCTGTCTTGGGGCTCAGGATGCTGGGGTTACACTGTAGATTTGGGATGGGAGTCTGAGCTCCATCCCCAGTTTTGATTCAGGAGAGGCCTTGTTTCAGTCCCTCAGGGCTCAGCCCTGAGTCCTGCCTTTCTCATCTTGAGTCTAATGGACCCATTTTCTCTTGCTCTTTGAAGCTGTAATTTTCCTGCCAAAATGTTTTAAAAGCTGCATGCACTGAAACATTTTCAAAATTGCAGGTATAGTACTCTTAACCACATGCATGGTTTCATTAGTGCACCCATGCGTTTGGCAATGGCTCAGGCTGTGAAAGGGGTGGCCCCTTAGGATGGTGGTGGCTCCAGGTGTGCTGCTCATGTGTGACAATGCATGTAATACCGCTGGGTGGCGGGGTAAGCACCCGGGCTGGTGTTTGTCACAGTGAGGCTATTTGGTAGTGAGTGGATGTCCTTCCTGATGTCTCTGGGTGGAGGGAAGCATGTCTTACCATGTCATTGAAGGAGACCCGTTTTCTTCTGGGTGTGGGGTCTCTCTCTGTCATTCCGGTCTTGGAGATTGTCCCCTCCTGGAATGGGGCATCTTCTCCCACCCCCAGTGGTGTCAGCTGCTTTGCACAGCAATGTCCTCCCTATGCCCTTCTGGGTCCCATGGGGCCAGGGGCACTCCAACAGCTCACTTTCCTGCTGACACGAGCCGACTGCTGTCCTTGGAAGGCAGAGGCGGATATGCAGACAGCTTGGGTCTTAGTGACATTTATTGCTGTTGTACCAGCACCTCCCCCCCCCCTGTTCAAGGACCTGCCATCATAAGCGTGAGTGCTCAGCCTGGATGTGACCCTCCCAGATGTGACTCCTCTGGGACAGTGTTATGTCTGTGGTCAGACCTATGGGTTGTTGTCTCTTGAGGCCTCTTGCTACTTTTGACTTACAGCTCTTCTAGGGCAAGTACAGTGTGGAATGAGGGTGGGGTGTCCTGCTCTTTCCAGTTCATAGTCTCGGTAGTTCTGCTCCAGTCCAAGGTTGCAGGCAGAGTATTAATTTCTGCTTAGCAGTATGGGGGCCCTGGAGATCCTTCCATAACCTGTGAGTCACACTACTGGGTCCTGGAAGGCCTCTTGATGCTTGGGAACTGTTGGAGGCCATGGGAACAGCCCACAAGACAGGTGAGGCCCTGCTTGCTATGGCCCTGGAGAAGCCTCCCAGATCCAGCAGTTTTCTGTTTGTGGAATGATACTGTGCCTTGTGGTTGAGTGACTCAGTGAACATCACCTGGCCAGATCTCCAGTAGGGGGACTTCTCCTCACAGGTTGAATGGGAGTGCCCAGGCCCATCCAGCTGCTTTATTTGGTTAACACCATAGACAGCACTACCTCTCAGCCACTGGCAGCCCTGCAGAGCTCCCTCAAATCATAAAGAGGCATCTCTGTAGACTGGCTTACCAGAACTACCTTGTGGCTGTGAAGTCAACCAGAGCATATGCACACCTTCCCCAGGCAGATTCCCTGATCCCTCTCCAGGATCCAGAGCTTCCCATATCGCCAGCCTTTCCAGGTTCCCTTGCTTCCTGATGACTCCACAGTGTCTCCAGGAGCTACCTGGAACTCAGAACCTTGGATCAGAGCCCACATCATGGGCTCCTGTGCCATGTCCTATCCAGTTTTCTGTTGGATTGCCAGGCCTTTTCCCATAGCTCATCAGCTGTTGGTCCTCCTGGAATGCATTACCCCTCCTCCCCAAATGACACAGAACACAAGGCCTCAGGTGTGGGTGGAGCTATTCTAGCTCCCCCACCACCATGGCAGCCCTGTATCCTGAGACAGATGAGATTTCCCTGTCACCATTGCTATGATGAGCCCTCTCTAGAGTCAACCACCACCAGATGTTTTTCTTCTCTGCTTTCTCTTATTTGGGTTTTTATAAAAATGAGTGATGAGAGCCAGCACTCGGGAGTCGGAGGCAAGTGGATCTCTGAGTTCAAGGCCAGCCTAGCCTATAAAGTGAGTTCCAGGACAGCCAGGATTACACAGAGAAATCCTGTATTAAAAAACAAAACAAATTGAAGAAAAAGTTATGAGACTCAGAGTGGGTGGGTGGCTGAGTAGTTGCAGGTGCTCTGGTGAGATCCTCTGGTTGGTACCAAAGAGCTACTGTAACTTGATTATGAGCAGAAGTGTGCTGAGCCAGGGCTTTCCCTGCTCAGGGTTATGGGTAGCCCAGGACACCAGAAACCCAGGGCAAGGAGGCCACATGGCTGAGTGGGCCACTCAACCACTCTGGCCTCCATAAGGTGTTGGGAAAGGAAGGTTGTAGGGTCAGAGGGCCAGAGGAGATTCAGTCCCTTCTGACCAGGCATTGGGTTGGTGGATGCTTCCTGCAGGGAATCTGAAGGCATAGTTTCATTGGGGTTGTATATGGAGTTGTCTGTGTACTCTGCCACAGACAACTGTCAGTGGGAGGAAGGGGAGGGATTTGAGGAGTGGTGCCCTGCCACAGGAATCAAGCTGTCTCCAGTGGTTCCCAGGCTGACAGCATTGGCCTGAACTTGTGGGTAGAACCCTGCCAGTCACCTTACCCTTTTTCTCTTTTTCTCCATTGCCTTGGTCCTAGCTGGGTGGCTGTGGTGTCCTGGGTGTTGGCATCTGGTTGGCTGCCACACAGGGAAACTTTGCCACCCTGTCATCCTCATTTCCATCTTTGTCGGCTGCCAATCTACTCATCGTCACTGGCACCTTCGTTATGGCCATCGGCTTCGTGGGCTGCATTGGGGCCCTCAAGGAGAACAAGTGCCTACTGCTCACCGTGAGTTGTTGGGCTGCTCTGTGCGGCTCACTATGCCACCAACTCCACCTCTGGAGCCTGTTCAGCACCAGGGTTCTACGGGGTTTCCAGGCCAGGTGGGGCTGGAGGGGTCGCTCAAGAGAATACATTATAGCTGGGGCTGGGGCAGGACAATCATGAGATTCAGGCTAGTCTGGGATACAGATTAAGACTCCATCTCAAAATAAAGTTTAAAAGGGGGAGGGCACTAGAGCTATAGATCTAGAAGAATGCTTGCATGATATGCACGAGGCTCTGGGTTTGAGTCCCAGCACCACACATACAAAAAAAGCATACCAGTTTGGAGAGACTTTTCTTGATGAGGCACAGACCCAAGAATTTAGATATGCCCACATGTGTGGCCTTTACCGGGCTGTTCTGAGGCTCATCCTTGTGGTGGCTCTACCCCAGCTTCCTGTCCTGGACCTGCCCCTGCTCCTACCCTCTGTGGAAATCTCACAGCACCATTTGGCCTCGGGAATATATTTATGGGAAGGAAGCTATTTCTTCCTCCACAGTTTATAAAGTTAATCACAGGTAATTAGGAAAGGTTTCCTGGAGGCACTTACAAATTAATGTGCCTGGCAGAGGCCTCAAGTGGCATGGCAGGTGGACTGAAGCTTCATGTCAAGATGCTTTGAATGGTTCCTTTCCACTACCTGGGGTAGGGTTTTGCTCAGGGCCTCAAACTCTTGTAGAAACAAACTGTTCCCTCCCCCATCTCTCTAGGGGTGTATGGCAGAATGTTTATAGGCCTCTAATAGGTGATATTTGGGATCTCTTTGAAATGTCCAAATTATGGCTGGGAATGGAGCTTAGCAGCAGAGTACTTGCCTAACATATACCCTGGTATGGGGGGGGGGTAGTGGAAGTCACAAATAGAGATGTCAGGGCAGGAGCCTGGGGAACAGGGACATATACCCACATGGGGATGTTTAGATCAGGTGTAGGGGTAGAATCCAGGCCAGCAGGCCACTTAGGCTCAGGGGGATGGTCTGGCCTGGCTCTGAGTTCCATGGTGTAGTGGAAGCTCTGGGACTCTCCAGGAGCAAGTTGTGACTAAGGGGCATCTTCTCTACAGTTCTTTGTGCTGCTGCTGCTGGTATTCCTGCTGGAAGCCACCATTGCTGTGCTCTTCTTTGCCTACAGTGACAAGGTATGTTGCTGCAAATGGGCAGTGCATAGGATGCTGGGAGACTTAGTGCAGACACAGTACCCAGGGATCTGTGTAGTGGTTCTGTTGCATGGATGGCACAGTGGTCTTAATTCCTAGGATACCAGGCCAGGGTCCTCCAGTGAGTGCAGGTTGCTAAGCATACTCCGTCCCAGCCATCCCAACCTGCACTGCTGTACATACTGCGTGTCATATGTTGTTTCCCATACCTATCTGTCTGGTCACACAGTTGGTTAGGTTTACTGACGGATTTGAGGATCTTGAGTTATAGCTAGTGCTATGTTCCTAGCTGTGTCCCTGACTTCCTCATAGGACCTCTTTTCTGAAAAAGTACCTCAGGACTACAGGAGGTACTCTGTACAGGCTGGAATTGCCTTCTTCAGTGCCCTGGTTCCTTTAGTGGAGATCTAGGAATGATGCCCATGCCCTCAGCTGTAGAGCAGACATGTCTGCTTGTATGCAAGTAGACTGCAGCCCTCCCTTAGCCAACAAGAGGAAGCCTAGAGATGAGAGGGCAAAGGCCTGCAGCAGGGTCCTTGGAATTCTGGGAGGATATAAGCCTGGGCCTGTGTCCTGGGTATGACTGGGTGGTAGGGTAAGGGGAACAGGCAAGAAATTCAGGTGGGAGGGGCATGTGGTATTGATGAGGGATGGTGTCTGTCTTGGACTGAAGTAGAGGGTATTCACTGGTGGCCTGTTAACAGATTGACAGTTATGCCCAGCAAGACCTGAAGAAGGGCCTGCATCTGTATGGCACACAGGGCAATGTGGGCCTCACCAACGCCTGGAGCATCATCCAGACTGATGTGAGGCTTGGGCAGCCTTCTTGGTATGGCAGAACTGGCAGGCGGGGGTGGGTGTTGTGGCTGCCTCTCCACCAGTCCTTTGCTTTCCTCCTGCTCCTAGTTCCGTTGCTGTGGAGTCTCCAATTATACTGATTGGTTTGAGGTATACAACGCCACTCGTGTGCCTGACTCCTGCTGCCTGGAGTTCAGTGACAGCTGTGGGTTACACGCACCTGGTACCTGGTGGAAATCGGTAAGGGCTTTTCCCTCCTCTGGTGGGTGGCTGCAGAGGTGGGGTCCCCCAGCTGATCCTGGTTCTCCTGCAGCCCTGTTATGAGACAGTGAAGGCCTGGCTCCAGGAGAACCTGCTAGCTGTGGGCATCTTTGGACTGTGCACGGCGCTGGTGCAGGTGAGCAGAGCTGGGCAGGGCTGGGCCTGGTACTCTTGACCAGGGAACACAATGGCAGAGGATTTACCCTCAGGAGCCTGTGACCTGGGCAGGCAGGTAACAATGCAGATTATAAGAAGCCATTGTCTCAGAGGAAGTTCACTAGGGGAGGTGACCTTTGGTATCTCAAGGACCAAGTGCTACCGGTGCTCCCTGTTACTTAGTGAGTCAATGCTGCCAAGCAGCTACCCTGGTTGGCAGTGACAGGACTTCCCAGTGCAGGATGAGGATGGCACTTGAGACCCCAATGCCTCCAGGCCCTGCTCTCTCCTCCTAGGTTCATAGCCATCCATAGTAGTGCTGAGAGTTGGCTGTGTGACACTCTAGGCTAAGTGGGACAGACCTACAGGGCAGCCATAATCCATTTGGCTACAGCTAGGACAGTGGGTACAACAGGGTAAGCAGCCTGGCTTAGACCAGGTACGAGAGAGGTGTGACCTAAGGTACAGAACACAACTTACCCTGGGGATAAGTTGCAAGAGTTGGGTAATAGCCGGCTGCCCCCTGAAGCCCAGTCTGAGCCCAGCCAGGCCTGCTGAAGACCAGGCTCTTCTGCCTATGGGCAAAGGCCTGTGACCTCTTGTCTCCACAGATTCTGGGCCTCACCTTCGCCATGACCATGTACTGCCAGGTGGTAAAGGCGGACACTTACTGCGCATAGGTCTCTCAGCTTCTGCTTCTCTGCCAAAGGACCCGCCCATGGGGAGACATCCACACCCACTTCCCATGCAGGACTTGGTGCTCTGCTGAATGCAGGGGAAGAGCTTGAGGCCAGAGCACCCAGGATCCACCCCTGTACCTAAGGCCTCTGCTTGGGTGGCTGCAGTCACCAGATTATAGGGTTGGTGCCAACCAAGCATGGCACCCAGGGCTAAAGGCCCAGGGAACTTTGACAGTTTTTATATCCATATATCTTCCAGTATTCACACAGGATAGGGTCCCCAACCCTGCATGGATGCCAGGTTGGAGGCAGGCCCAGTCTGCTCAAGGCCCACGATGGTCCTGGTGCTCCAGGCCAGACCAGGTCCCATGATTCACATTCCATGATGGTGTCGTGGTCCCGGGTGCATCTTAATAAAGCGTGTGAGCAGCCCCTGTGACTAGCTGGACACACAAAAGTTATACAGCCACAGCCTTCAGCTGAGGAAGTTCTTTCATTAGCCAAGGGTCAGCAGAGTTGGGAGCACTGCTGACTTGTTGCAGGTTGGGGGAAGACATGGCCTCTGTTTACTCCTGTTTCTCCTGGGATGTCTCAGACACTTGTTTGTCTGTCCTAGGAACTATGCCTTTGCATTAGTATGGATAGACTGCAAACAGCAGCACTTGGAGACACAGAGCCTTTGCCACTGGCCAGAGTTAAAGCACCAAGCCACTAACAGGACATCAAAGGCAGGGTCTTCTTAACTAGGGGGTGAAGAAGAGCCCCAGGTGAGGGCCTCTGGCTGTAGGGCCCTAACCTCTGGGTGTTTAGGTTAAGGTGAGCTCCTTCCAGGACCTTCAGGAGCTGTGCAGTGCCAGACTCCCAGGACCTACATCCTGCTGCCCGAGACAGCAACACAGTTCTCTCATTAGGGGTCATCCTTGTGACCGTCACACCGCATGTAGCATACACTGGAGAGAATCTGACCCAGCTGTCTGTGGGGAAGCTGCTACCCTTCCTGTTCTTTGGCTCTAGGCTGAGTCCTTGTGTCCTCCCTCTACTGGAAGCCATAGGACCTGAAGAATCTCTGAGAATTACTAAGAATTACTATGCAGTCAGCTGCTCCAGACAAGTTGCTAATTAGCGAAAAGCCCTCTCAGTTGTAGGTGGCCAAACTGAGAGGAAGCTGCATTCAGGGTACACGGGATGCTGACTCTTCCTCTGCTCAAAGCTTTGGCCCTTTTGAGCTTCATTAAGGTCCCAGGATGCCCTTCCCACCCCCAAGCTAAGCAGCTCTCTGTTCATGGTCACCAGTCTACCATAGCCACAGACAACCCACAGTGCCTTGCCCTACTGACAGAATTTCTATCTACCAGTCTTTCAGTTCTTGGGTAGCACCTCTGTACACCCCAACTTCACTGATGCAAACCCAGAACCTGAAGGGGTTACTTTCAGTGGGGTTGCCCCTGCATGGGTCAATCTCTAGCACCAATGAGGAAAAAGAAGTTGAGAGGTGAACTGGTTGCTCATTTTTCTGTGGCCCCAGAGAAGTCACCCAAGTTCCCATCTACTGCCACCATTTGACACCCCCACCAAGACCCTTGCTGTGGCAATCTGACCTATATTGTCTTGTCCCCATACCACCTTGGCCACTCCACCTGCTCACAGCAGGCTGTTCCCCAGCCTACCCGCTGTTACTTCTCCAGTGGTTGGCCCACAAGCAGGTAAGTTCCATGTCATTCACTTTTTTTTTTTTTTTTTTTTTTTTTAAAACAGGGTTTTTGTTGAAAATCTC